TGTTTCGAGCAGGCGGAGTCTCCCCCACAGGACGCACTGTTGCAAACAGTCGCGCTAAGCAGAGGTCCGGAGCCAGACCCCCCCCTCCCCTCCCCTTCCGCCCAATGTCGAAACGCCGAATGATAAACGCTGACGAAAGGGTCGAGCTTTCCAGGGGCCCAGCCGACGAAAAATTCGACGCCGGAGGAGAGGGTACCGCTGCTTGTGCGTACCAGGCAGGCCTGGGATGAAGGATGAGTCGTTCCGCAGCGTTCCTACCGTAGCGCCACGACACGTCCTCCAGGTCTTTTCAGCTCTGAGAGATTGCTGGTGTGATTCTCATCCGTGATTTGTCCTCGGCTTGCCTTCGCCTCAATTGACGAAGTTGTTGCCGGTCTTGGCTTCCTCAAAGTTCGATTTACTTTTAGCCAATCGGCTTGTGGAGATCAAGCTAGATAAATCAAGATCAGCGCAGGTAAATCGAAGTAAAGCCAGGTAAGTCTGGGCAAAACCATGTGAATTCAGGTAAATCGGTAAGTCCAAAGATCCCCTGCGAAAGTTTTACCAAATCGTGTCCGCTCCAGCGCGGGTCGGGGGGAAGCAGAATTCGTCAAGCCCTAAACGACCGGTGGCCCGTGGGGGTTGATGACTCGGAAATCGCGCGACGTGTCGCATTGCCGCGCTCGATGGCGAATTTCTTCTGGTGTGCGGGGGCATTGGTTGGTGCTCAGGTCGGCTAGGAGCCACGCGAGGCCCTCGCTTCGGGAAAGCAGTGAGGAGGGCCCCAGGCTGCTACGCACTTTCGACTCGATCCTCAATCTGCCACTAGTCCCTGGCTTTCTCGTTCAAGGTTTGTTGCTCTTCCTTAGTGGGATGCAGGTGTGGCGGCTCTCTGTTGCTGCTCGTTGCTGGGACCGTTCCGTGGAAGTGCCTAGTCACACGCGTTCTACCAGCGCAGACGGAGCCCCATGGCACGACACGACAGACGAGCGACGGCCGACAGACGAACGACAAGAGGCGGCGCGGTGGAAGGGGGCAGGGCGGGAGGGTGGGGGAGGGCCCGCGGGGGGGCGCCGCGGCGGCACGCCACGTGCTCAGGCTGGCGCGAGCGGTCCCCGCCGCGTCAGGCGCTTCCGCCGCAGCCCAGCCGCCCGCGAGGGAGCGCCGCGGCCGAGCCGGCGCGAGCAGCGCTCAGCGCCGGGCGTCGGGCGTCGGGCGGCGGCACACCCGCGATGCCCTGCCCGTCCAGGGCGCCCAGCAGGGCCCTGGCTGCGGCGAGGATCGCCGCGGGCCCCTGGGCGGTGGGGTCGCCCGCTGCCGCCTCCAGCAGCAGCGCGCCCGCCTGCGCCCCGCCGCTGGCGCCGTCGCCCGCGCGGGCGCGCAGGGTGGCCGCCTGCGGGCGCAGCGCCGCCGCACGCCCGCCGGCCTCCCAGAGCGCCCAAGGCTCCCCTCTCGTGGCCCAGTCGGCGCGCTGTCGCTTGGCTGGGTGGGCTGCCATGCGCCGAGGCTGGAGTCCTCGGCGCTGTCCCCCGCGTCGGCTCAGCGCTGGCGCTTCCGCGCGGACATGCGCGGACGCCGCCTGCGCCTCTGGCGGGGGCACCGCGGCATCCGCGGCGGAGCCGGCGGCCGACCAGTCGGGGTCGCCCTCGGCCTCGATGCCGTGCTCGCCAGCGTCGAGCGCCACTGGCGGGACCAGCAGCCGCTCGCGGACGTGCTCCGTCGCCCCGCAGGGGCCCGTGTCCGTAGCCCCGACGGGGCCGGCTTCCGACGCCCCGTTGGAGGGGCCAGTGGTGGCGGCCTAGTCCTCTTTGCAGCGTTGGAGGAGGCCCGCGATCTGCGCTGTACTCAGGACCCTGGCCGCGACTTCCGCGGTCTCGAAGGCCCATGCAGTGCCGCCACGGCGGCTGCCGCCACGGCGGTTGCCGCCGCAGGCGGTGGCGGGCCTGGAGTCGTTCCCGGTCCTGCAGGCGCGCTGCGCCCTCGCCGGCGCCGCCTCTGGCTCCTGCGGAGCCTGTGCTGGCGTTCTCGGTGCCGTTGCTGACGCCGGTAAAGTGCACAGTCGCACAAACGTGCGTGCATTCGTGCATGTGTGTAAGAGCATGTGTGGTTGTATGAATCGTATGCGGATGTGCGCATGTCTGTACGCGTTTACGTGAGAACACGTGTGTATGTGCGTACGCATGTACGTTCAGTTGTGCACGCGTGTAGTATGTATGCGCGTGCGTGTGTGTATACGTGTGTGTGTGCGTGTGTGTACGTGTGTGTGTACGTGTGTGTGTGAGAGAGTGTGTGTGTGTGTGTGTGTGTGTGTTTGTGTGAGTTAGTGTGTGCGGGTGGGTGGCATGGTGTACGTGCGCGTGTTGGTAAACGTGCGCGCCCGTGCCCATGTGCACGACGTTTCTCATTTGCACGTGCTCGCACGCACGATGTGCAATGATCAGACGTTCATACGGATGCTCGTGCGACTGAGTGGCTCGGCCATTGATCGTAGATGATGCACGTGGGTACCGCTGTGAAGGGGCACGCGACAACATGTCCCTGCACTCCCGCACGCAGGTCTGAGTTCATGAGTGCATGCAACACGTACATGCTCACACCGCGCCGTTGGTTCCAAGCCTTTCCTGCCGATAGATGGTTGCCCCTGGTGGAAATTTATGTTTAGATGGTTAGCCTTGGCCGGCCCTACCAGCGCATGCTCCGTAATGCTCACACCTCCAAGTTGAACAAGAGAAATCGTTGGGCGCGTTCTGCGGCGCGCTGCTAACACCTAGAGGAGGCCGACCCAAAAGGCTTGAGCACCACTGCCGGGGAGCCTACCTGGTTTGAGTAGCCACCTGTTCTAGCCAGAGTCAAGGCGAGTGTCTTTTTGTTCAGCTCAGTATCACAGGGAGGTGCAGGCCAGGTGATGTTGTGGCAGAGGTTGTGCGGGAGGAAGCAGCACACGAGGGAGTGAAACGTCGCGGCCCTCGTGCGCATGTTGCCGCCTTCTGCCTGGACAACTCAGCCACGTGCTCCAGCTCACTCGAAGTCGATCGCGAGTGCATGCGTTGGAGACCACGTCGGTTTGCGGCCCGGCACGAGGAGGCAGGCCTTGCCTCTCGGGGGCGGCAGAATTGGTTGAATCCGAGCAGTGCCCCCTCTGTTCCGGCGGGGGGCACGGGGCAGGCCTGCGGGCGATGGGCCCAGCGGCCCAGGTTGGGGGGCCAGGGTGGGCTGACGGGAAGGCGACCCAAGTACCACGCATGGGTTTTAGGGGGCCGACGGCAGACGGCAGCTGGCAGGCAGTTGACGATGTCTGACGATGTCCCGCGACGACGACGACGACGACGACGATGACGACGACGACGACGACGACGAGGGCCCGGGGAGGGGTAAGGAAGAGAAGCAGAAGCGAGGACGACAAGGAAGAGGAGAAGGAGGAGGAGGAGAAAAGGCAGATGAGGAGGAGAGGGAGGGGGAGGGAGACGGGCAAGGGAGGAGAGAAGGCGTAGGGGGAAGACGGACGAGGACAGGACAAGGGCAACGATACCCATAACGACGGCGAGAACCAGGAGGACAAGCCCGAGGATGAGTATTGAGTGCGACCGTGCGGGCGAGGGCGAACACGAGAACATGATGTGCGAGGAAGATGTTGAGGTGAAGTGAGGATCAAGGGGAGTATGCTGTGGAGGAAGAATATGATCCCAGTGCGACCCTACCTAGGAGTTGGAGCCCCTGGGAAAGCAGCATTCGTAGTAACAGTAAAGCTAAGCTAAAGCTAAGCTAAAGCTAAGCTGGAGCTAAGATGAAGCTACGCCCAAGCTAAGCTAAAGCTCAGCTAAAGCTAAGCTAAAGCTAAGCTAAGCTAAAGCTAAAGCTAAAGCTGAGCTAAAGCTGAGCTAAAGCTAAGCTAAAGCTAAGCTAAAGCTAAAGCTAAGCTACAGCTAAGCCAAAGCTAAGCTAAAGCTAAGCTACAGCTGAGCTAAAGCTGAGCTAAAGCTAAGCTAAAGCTAAGCTAACGCTATGCTGAAGCTATGCTGAAGCTAAGCTAAAGCTGAGCTAACGCTGAGCTAAAACTAAGCTAAAGCTAAGCTAAAGCTAAAGCTAAAGCTAAAGCTAAAGCTAAACCTCCCAGGGGACTGGGGGAACCGCGGGGCGGGGACTGGGGGAACCGCCCGGGGCGCTCTCCACTGCCCGGCCCCTTTAAGCTAAGAGAGTAAGAACCCTCTAGGCAGAGCCTAGGTAGGGAATAAGGCAGTAGAGGGGGGAGAGGAAGTGAGGGGAGTGAGGTGGAGAGAAGGAGAGCGGAGAGGGAGGAGAAGGAGGTGGACCAGAGTGAAACAAAGATGCGTCAACGATGCTGCGATAACCTTCGCGTCCCCAGTCCCATCATAAATCCCTACAGCCTTTCTTGCTACAAAAAGGGCCCCCCTTAAAAGACCAGCACGACATGGGCCTGTCATTCAGGAAAGAGGAACTGCACTGCACACTTCTAGGGGCACTAAGGAGTGCGACAAGGTATGATCAGACAGTTCAGCGAGGTGCCCAGCGAGGTTTATGCTTTGAAAGAAGGCAGTTCTGGTCTGTCGCACTCTTGCACGGTCTTGCATGTGTGGGCGTGGATGTTGAGGGGTGTCTCGAGCGAGGGCCCCATGTTGAAACAGGGACGCCCATGCTCAAGCCCTGGGTCTCCAAATTCAAGGAAATCTGAAGAGATAACCCCGGTTTGACATGGAGCCGCCCTTCACCCCTATAGCTGCTGCGAACGTTTACGGCGAATGTGCGCCAAGCTACGGCGAAACCCCATGTTGATAATGAGCCGCTCTTCATGCTCGTAACCGCTGTCAGCTTTCAAGGCATATGTTTTCGGAGCTGCGGCGAGAGCTCCATTTCGAAAACGGCCCCACTACCCTCGTAATTGTTGCAGACATGCGAGGCGAATGTGCGCGGCGCCACGGCGATAGCTCCATCTTGGAAACCACCCCACCTCCATCCTTGCAAGCTTGTGCAGGCTTCGGCGACGAATGTGCACGGCGCTCAGGCGAGAGTTCCATGTTGAAAACGACCCCTCCATTCGTGCAGTTGTATCAAATGTCAGGCTTCATGACCAGCAATGGAAAGGAAGCCGCGTGCGAAGCCCTTCGGCCCGCCGTACTTACATGTCCGGCGGCGCGACAGGGAGGAGTTCCCCATAAGGAAAAAATGAAGGAGGAGGACGCGGAGAGGGGCGAAGAGGAAGGGCATGATAGGAGGAGGAGGAGGAGGAGGAGGAGGAGGAGGAGGAGAGGCTTAGAGAGGGAGAGGAGATAGACGAATACGAAAAGAAACAGGCTTGGGAGTTGAATTCTCGAGTCGGAGGAGGAGGGAAGGTGACGACGATGACGAAGGACCATGAGGAGCACAAACAGGGAAATCCCGAGCTCATGCGCCCCACTACCGTCGTCCTCGCCATCGTTCACCTCCTCCCTCCTCCTCGTCGTCCTCTTCATCCCTACTCCCGTCCTCCCCTTCATCCTGCCCTTCAGCTTCTTTCCTCCTCCACCTCCTCCACCCCCTCCTCATCCTCCTCCCTTCTCGTCCTCCTTCTCCTCCACCTTCTCCTATTCCTCCCCCCCCCCCTCCTCCTCCTCCTCCTCCTCCTCCTCGTCCTGCTCTATCCTCATCCTGTTGATTATCATCCTACTCCTCCCTCTCTCCTCCCCTCGCCCTGATCCTCAGTCTCACCCATCCAGTCTCCACCCCTTGCAGAGATGCCTGCACGTCTTCATCCCCATCCCTCCCCTGACCCCACGACGCTCCGACGGCGACGGAGGCGACGACGACGGCCGCGACCACACCGACGGCGACCAAGACGACGGCCAGAACCACGACGACCGTGACCACGACGACAGCGACGACGACGCCCTGAACGACAACGCCTCCGACGCCAGCGCCAGAAGCGGCGCCGGACGTGCCGTGCTCGGGGTGTTGGCAAAAGTGTCCTTATGACGAGGCCCAGCAAGCCTTCCGCGCCAAGGGCACCTTTTGCGGCAAGGGCACCTTTTGCGCAAAGGGCCCAGGACGGACTCCCGTCGGGGATCATCCGTTAAAATGGGAACGATACAGAGTAGATTAGCATGGCCCCTGCGCAAGGATGACACGCACACATCGAGAAGTGTATACAATTTTCACTTTTGCGCCAAGGGCACCTTTTGCGCCAAGGGCACCTCCAGCAACCCCCCGGGGGTGCTGGTCGCCGCGCGGTGACGGCCCTCCCGCCTCCCAGAGAGGCGCTGGCGGCGGAGCGGGCGGCCGCTGCCGCGCTGGAGGGGGCGGGCCCGCTCCGCGGGAGGGGGCGTTCCTCCCGCTCCCCCTCGCTGTTCCTCATGCCTCTCCTCCTCCCCTCCCTCCTGCCCCTCCTCCCTCCGCCCTCCGCCCTCCTCCTCCTCCTCTTCTTCTTCTTCTTCTTCCTCCTCCTCCTCCTCCTCCTCCTCCTCCTCCTCCTCCTCCCCCACCTCCTCCTCCTCCTCCTCCTCCTCTCCTCCTCCTCCCCCTCCTCCTCCTCCTCCTCCTCCCCCCTCCCCCTCCTCCTCCTCTCCTCCTCCTCCTCCTCTCTTCCTCCTCCTCCTCCTGCTCCTGTCTCCTCCTCCTCCTGCTCCATTCCTCCTCCTCCTCCTCCTCCTCCTCCTCCTCCGCCTCCGCCTCCGCCTCCTCCTCCTCCTCCTCCTTCTCCCCGCCTGCTCCTCCGCCGGGAGGGTTTGAAGGCCGCCTTGGGCGGATGCCCTTGAGGCTAAGTGAGGTGTCAGGGGACGTGCAGGGCACCCAAGCAAGGGGTGCACCATGTGCAGCACGGGTAACGTATGCGCCCCCTAGCCCAGAGCCGAACCGAGCCGAGTTTGCTCATCCATTCCCATTCTTCCTCCTTCTCCGCCCCGCTCCTCCATACTCCCTCCTCCCCTGGTCCTCCCTGCTTATCCTGCTCCTGGGGAGGGGGGTCCTCCCCCCGCCCCTTGCTCTTATGAATAATTCTTCCCTGTCGCACCACCAGACGTGTGGGCGGGGCTGGCAGGGCGTTTGGCATGGAACCTCCTCACCATCTAAGGTCCTGAAGTTTGACGTCCCTAAAAACTGCAGGGATGGAGCGCAAGTTCGTTTCAAAACGGGGCTCTCGCCTTAGCGCCTCGCACGTTCGTCTCGAAAGCTTGCAGCCGTTACAAATATTGAGGGCGGTTCGGTTTCAAAGCGGCGCACAGTCGTTGAAATGTATGCCGCAGCTACCAGGATAGAGGGCGCTTCCGTTTCCAAATGGGGATCTCATCGTCTCGCTTTCTAGCGCCGCGCGAATTCGCTGCACGAGCTTACAACAGTCATAAGGATGGAGCACGGTTCCTTTTCAACTTGGGTTCTCACTTGAGATCTCCTCAAGCTTAACGACCACAGCTGCACGGATGGGCGTGGCTTATTCCCAAAATGGGATCACTTGGGACGTCTCAACTGATTGGCCAGAAGTGTAACGTTAGTGCAACTGGTACACGGATGCAGGGCTGCTCCGTTCCAACACGAGGTTCTTATTGGACACCTCGTTGAATGATATGATTCCACCGCTGCGTCTACTGTCCCGAAACAGCTTCTCCGTACGGTTTCTATATATGTGTTCTAAGAAGCGTGGTGGTGCATCGTTGGATCTGGAATCGGGCGGGCGACGTTGTCGCTCGTTGTCTCACGTTGTTTCCCGCTGCTTTCCTTGATGACCTCCGGTTGCCTCCTGTGGCCTCCCGCTGCTTCCCGTGGCCTTCCGTTGCCGTTCCCATCCTCTCTCATTGCCCGTCCCGATCCCTCTCCCGATATCACTATCCCTATAATTACCCTTCGCCAAACATCCCGATCCTTATCCCGATCCTCCAATCGTGACCCCCATCGTGGCCCCCCGTCGGGGCCCCCTATCGTGAGCCCCCAGTGTGGCCCCCGGCGTAACTGTGTAAAGCTGTTTGCGGTATTGTGCCGCAAGGGTGTCACTAGAACTCGCCAGAGAGATGCAAAACAGATCCTTTGCAAGGAGTTGCTTCTGGCGGCGAGAAACAAGAACTGTGAGTGATTCGGACGGGAGGGTCTTTTGGAGCATCGTCGACGCATCCTGGGTTTTCTCTGGTCCATCCCGCTTTGTCAAGAGGCTTACGCCACTCCGCTGGCCCCACAGGAGAAAGTAAGTACACGGGTGAGGCCTTGTGGGGTCTTTGGGGATTATGTGGGGACGTTTTGCGCGCATCTTCGACGCGCTTCAGGGCGTCTTGGTTGTTGCGTGGGAGCCGCTGGCGATTTCGAATGTCCCCTGAGGTACAGGGGTGGAAATGCCAGTTTGAACTATTTCTGGTTGGCCTTTTTCTGGGGTCTCGGGTACTTCGTGAGCGCCTCTTGGGCGGAGTGGATGTACTTGTAGGGCGGCTCGAGGCTCGTTCGCTGGCTGTTTGTTTCGTCACAGACCGGTGCTGTGGGGCTGTAGAGTCGTCGTCGACGCTGTGACAACAAAAACGGCAGACATGCCAAACATGTATGTACGTTGTGTTTTGTAGGGGTTGGGATGACTTTGTATTGCATCGAGCCCTTTCAAACGGTTTGGGCGGCTGGGGGACGCCGAGCAACTGGGAGTCACGTGCGAGCGCTAGGGTAGGACGCGTTCAGCGGGGCTCAGCATGACAAGAATGCACTGGAAGGGCGATGGGTACTGGTTTCGGGCGGGAAGCCAGGGCGGCAACCCGCGCGCGCGCACCTGAAGATTTCTCCATACGGCAGGCTCGTGTCGCGTGGACGCGGCGGCAATTCCAGCGCTGGCGTTCGAGGTTCAACGCCGCCAGCGGCCCGCAGTCGGCCGATGTCGAACCATCGGCGCTATCTTTTAGTCGGACCTGTCCCTCTACAGGGGAATAAATAAAACTAGGGAAAAATAGTCAGGCCACTTTTTTTTTGTTTTACTATTTTTTAGCATTTGGGGGGTACGTTTTGAGCATCTTGCATTTTGAGCCCCAAAATCCCCCTGTAGGGGGACAGGCCCGACCTATCGCTACCTGAAAGCCGCGATCGTTCGAGCTGGAACGGAGCAGATGCACGAGCCGTCACGGCCTTGAGCCGGCCGCAGAGGAGCACACACGGCGCTCTCCCGCTTGGCCAGTTGGCCTCCTCCCTCAACGGCATTCCTTCAGAGATCTCGGCTCGGCCTGGACAGTCAAGCAGTGGCGAAGCGTCCTGGCTCGCCCATAGGCCTATCAAAAGAATGTTCTAAGAACCCCTTGTGGCTTCCACGACATGTTCTTGGAACGTTTCTGTCTGGGTCTGTCTTGTTTCAACATCGGGTTTATGTTCTGAGAACCTTGTTTTTGTTCTTAAAAGATTTTGGGGTTCTAAGAGAATTTCGTGGTAGGCCCATAGGAATGCCAGGACGGTCGGTCCCTGCTCAAAGCAGTCGAGTCGGTTGCGCAGTCCGAGTGCGCTCAGAGAAAGGCCCTCAATACGGATAGATCTCGCGTGAATTTTCGGCACAGGGCGCGGAGCGCACCAAGTCGGAGAGGCTAAAGCACACGACGAAGAGCAAGTTGCCAGTTGCTTCTGTTCTGTGGCGCGTGCATCAGACGGGTTGGAGCCATTGTGCAAGTGTGCTGGGGAGGCCGATTCGCTAGAAGCCGCCCCTGCACCAGCTGTTCGAGTCGAAACTCGGGCTCACGTCATCTGCTTGCACACTGTCTCATTCAAGCTCTCTGCTTTACCGCACACCGGAGACTAAGAGCGATGATGGTTATGAGAATGCATGTCGACATGTACGTACGGTGGTTATGAGTGGATACACAAACGTTCGTGTAGTGTGTACGAGTGTGTCCGTGTATGTATAGGTACTCTTCCTCGAACAAATTCATACGGCGGAAAACCATGGGTCGACCCTTTTGGTAAATTCGGCATCGAATTCCAAGAACGAATGAAACGCGAGAACATCCAATTTTGCATGCCTTGGGACGACAGCACCAACCGAGGCAAGACTGCGGCCTGCACTCCGAGGCAGCAGTGTGGCTGGCGCTACTGCGAGCGCGCCATTCCAACTCAGGAACGCGTTCATCACGCACTCAAGCTAAAGTGTCACTCCGAGGCAAGGCATCGCGGGAAACTTGCTGGGCACCGAAAGGAACCTCTCCAACCAAATTCAAAACCACTCAGGTGCAAACGTTGTCCGGGTAACATGTTCCCAATCAGAGCAGGGCAAGTGACGCGGGGCTATTGCCGCTTCCGTCCGCCGCCAAAGATCCAAGCCAGCAAGTTTTTGCAGGCCTCGGGACACGTGGTGGCTTGCATATGATCCGTCATGGATTTTGGCCGCATTCTTGCGTTGTTAGCCCATATTCAGGCCATGTATTCAGCCCATTGAAATCCGCTTGTGCGGCAGGCTTGATGCTTTCTAGAATATGTGGGTCCAGGAAGGCGATACAAAGGAAAAGTGATTTGAATCGTACACTTCTGAGAAGCCCGTCGTGAGCCTCTTCGGGGATCCCCATGGTCCCTTTGGCGGGGCATCCTGGGAGTCAGTCGGGAGTCTTGGGCCCTCTTGCGGGTTTGGGGGTGATCTCGGAGCCGCCTTGGAGCAGTCCTGGGTTGCCTTGGAGTCGTCCTGGGCTGGCCATGGGCAAATTAGCAGGGGCCGTCGTATGGCGGATTTCAACTGTCTCGTGTCCATATTGGGGTCTTCCTGCGAGGGTTTTCTTTGATCGCACGGACGTCGCCTGGGGCTACCCTCTTTGAGGCTTTTTGGAAGCAACTTTGTAGCAGAGCTGATGCTGTTGGCATCGGAGTAACCTCTTGGAGCCCTTGTATGGGGCGTTTTTGGGCAGCATGCTGGGGGGCGTATCGGGAGCGGTTGGAGCCGTTGTGGGGAGTCTCGGCGCTGTCTTGCAGCCGTCTTGGGCTGTCTTGCAGCTGTCGGGGGCCAATGCTTCCTAGGCCGCCTTGACGACCTCTTTGGCGCGACGTTGCAATCCCCTGGCGCCAGAAGCTCAACGAGATTGGGCTGTCAGATCGGCCGTCCCTCAGGGCGTCATTGCGAGGGGTCCACATCCACTGGTGACGACGATCAGACACGGCGTGACGTCCCGCTTGGACGACCACAACATCAGTGTATGGGCGCTCGGGCAACAATGGGATTGAAACACCAAGTTTGTTCCATCGCACTCGCCCCAGGCATTGGCGAGGGGAATGGCGGAACCGATTGGCATGCTGAGTGCAATGTGCAATTGCGTATGTCCAGCCCGTTTTTCAGGCCAAGCGGGTGCGGTAATGTTCATGCTCGTCTCATTCGCATGCGCAGAGGGTCTGTTCGTATCCATGCCAGCTTAAGTTTTGATTATGGGATTTGCTAGGCTTGGATTCGTGACCCACGTATCTAGTAGCATTGCGTCGGTATGCTTCGCACTAGATCGTCTCGACAACCAAGAAGTAGTCGGCCCGATCGGTCGCAATACGATTAGCCAGCATTGACTTGCGCACCTATTTGCAAGCATGGCATGTTAGGCTTACGACCAGTGCCATTCAGGAAAGTGGAGTTCAGCAAATGTCTAACGAATATGCAGGCGCTTCAGTCGAAGTTGGCGCAAGCTCCGAGTGAAGAGAGAGAGAGAGAGAGAGACTCAGAGCTGAGCTGTTGAATGACTCGCACACATGGCCTTCGTATGCCAAAGCGGCTGAGGATGTTGTATGCCAGGTTGTTCAGGATGGGGAGACGAAGAAGATAGTGAATGGAGCACCCGAATTCTGGAGTAGCCCCAGTAATAAGAAAGACGATCCACCACCAACTCCACGATCAGCAGCACCAGGAGGAGCCAGCCGATGTGGTGACGAATGTAGCATCATAGCCTGCGTTAGTAGTGGCCCAAGTACTTCAGTCGAGCAGTTGAACATGTTGGCAATCGAGATGCGGGCGCCAAGGAGGTTCACAATGTTGGTATCAACATGCAGAAATATATGCTATAACAGGTTTCAGCGCAGATGCACGTGCAACAAAAGGTGTCTATAAGGAACCAGGCAGAGATGATTTGATGTGCGGAGTGGCTTATGGCCATGCATCCAAGAGACTTACCAGCCCGCCACACTGACAAGATGTCGTGGACCATGTTGACGAATCCAGCGAAATCAGAAGGTGAACACAATTACGAGCACAGCAATGTCGTGGAGCGAATGGGGAATTGCAAACATGATAGTAGACGTTTTCAGTCCCCAGCGAGATTGTTTGTTTGTTCTCTGTCGCGCAAGGGTCGATCGAAAACAAGTAATTTCCCCACCCCTTCCCCCCGGGTAACGGTACCGATCGTACCCCACATGTTGGTGTTCGCGCGCATGTTGTGGCGATCGCGCATTCCCCACCCCGCCAAAGCGTTACCGTCGCCCCGCCCCACCCCCCTCCCCAGCATGACCACCGCTGCCAGACATAAGAATCAAAAACATTATTGTGGAGCTGATCGGAAATTGCAAACATGACAGCAACGGTTTTCAGCCCCCAACGCTTGGCCAACCCATCGGGGAGCGCAACACATGCCCAACTTGAAGTTGGCAGGGCCGCAGGAGGACCGAGATGACCACGCAAGCCGCAGGGATGCATCCATCGTGCCACCATTCGGCGGTGCGCCGAGGGGGGAAGTGAGAGGGGGCAGGCCTTCTCAGAAGGCGGCGGGGCTTCTCGGAAGCCCTCCGTGGCTTCGGAGAAGGCTCAGAAGGCCATCTGAGGAGGCCCGTCCCCAATCTGAGTCTTCTGAGGAGGCCCGCCCCCAATCTGAGCCTTCCGAGGAGGCCCGCCCCCAATCCTCGGAAGGCCATCTGAGGAGGCGCGCCCCCAAACCTCGGAAGGCCATCTGAGCCTTCTGAGGAGGCCCGCCCCCAATCCTCGGAAGGCCATCCGAGCTTTCTGAGGAGGCCCGCCCCCAACTTGCCTTCGCCCCTGAGCGCGCCGCCGCACCAGGAGGAACCTCGGCACGAGGGACGAAGGGGCCCGTCCGGCCACGGCAAGCCTCGGCCACGACCAGGTTGACAGGCAAAGATCCAGGGAGGAAAAACCACCCATAGCGGACAATTGGCGTTGACTCAACGGCCTTGGGCGTTCACTGAACAGCCCTGCCCTGTTCGATTCCTTCGCTGAACGACTTCGCGTGTCGGGGTGGTCAGTGTCGGTGTGGATTCTCTACCCTCTGAAAGAAGGGCAGAAAGCAGTGAGCTCACTGACCTTCAACAAGCTGCCGCCGTCGGTGAGCTTTTGCCTTCCGAGCGACTGCCCGAGCTGACGAGCCGAGCATGCCAGGTCGAGGCGGCCCGCACCGACGAGGAGTGCGCGGAGGCGCCCCCGCCCGCCTGCTGCCCCCCGGGGTGCACGGCGCGGGCTGCACCGGAACGGTGTGGAGGTAGGAAAGGGGTACGGTATAACCAGGGGCAACGATAGGGGGGGACAGGCGTAGCGGGGGATGCGTCGACCCCCGATCGCCCACTGATCGCCGAGAGGGGTCTGATAGCCCCAATCCGCCCAGGGAGGTGCGGATTCACTATCGGGGCCTATCGCCGATCTATCGGCGATGTATCGCCGATTCCAGGTCGATGCATTCCCCCCCTATGCCAGTCCCCCCCACATCGTTGCCCCCCATGTACAGGGGTGTGGTGCTAATTTCATGTAAAGGGGAATCTGGCGATGTCATTCGTCGCAGACAGCATCGCCATTTCCACGATCGGCACCATACCCCTTTGCGCCACGCCCCCTTCCTACCTCCCAAAACAGGAAAATGAGAGAGGGACCTCGCTGCCAAAACCACCTGGTGGATGCCAGGAGGAACGTGGGCGGAAAGTTGGAGATGGGGGGCGAACACAAATCCAAGACCCCCGACGTCACAACGTGTGGGCACCCGGAGTTCTCGGCAACCTCCTGGGAACCAGTGGTTTTCATCCCGGGCTTTCGTTTGACAGCCCCGGGGGCCACTATCGCCCCCCCGGAGGCCGAAAATTGCAAAGAATTTCTCGTCGTGATCAGAGTGAGGGGGCCGAACGGTCATTCACAGTCCCAAGGCGCGTGGCTGAAGGGAGTTTCCGCGGTGCGGATTGTTGTTGTTTGTTGTTTGTTGTCGTCGTCGTTCCACCCGCGGCCCGCGACCCATCTCAGGACCCACCCGCTACCCAACCCGCGACCCGCCTGCGACCCATCCGCGACCCACCCGAGACCCACCCGCGACCCACCCGCGACCCACCCGCGACCCAACCCGCAACTCGCCTGTGACCCACCCGCGACCCACCCGAGACCCACCCGCGACCCACCCGCGACCCACCCACATTGCTTGATCGAAAAAATCAGCGCCTGCGGCGGGCTCGTTGCACAACTTGTAAAAGTCAGGCGCCTGCGGCGGGCTTCTTCAGAGCCTCGCAAAACTGCCGACGCCCCCGCCACCCCCTCACTCTTATCCGCAAATGCGTTGCTACGTATTTTGTTCACCTGGCGATAGGGCCTGGATTCTGAGAAGCTCCCTGCCCTCTTGAAAGGCAAACCCGGGGAAAAAGGAGGAGGAGGAGGATAAGGAGGAGGAGGAGGAGGAGGAGGAGGAGGAAGTGGAGGAGGAGGAGGAGGAGGAGAAGAAAGTGCAGCAGGAGGAATAGCAGCAGCAGCAGCAGCAGCAGCAGCAGCAGCAGCAGCAGCAGCAGCAGCAGCAGCAGCAGCAGCTGGATGAAGAGGAGATGGCGGCGGCGGAGGTGGAGGAGTGGAGGAGCCAGAACCCAGCTCGAGCTGTCAGCAAAACGGCTAGGGGTGGGGGCAGAAGGGGAAGGAGCAGGAGGAGGAAGGAGCACCAGCAGGAGGAGACTGCACGAGTGGGGATCCGCCCCTGGGCGCTGAATGCCGCAGCCCCGTGCCCGAAGCAGCGAGGGGCCACCCTCCCTGCGGGCCCCAGGGAGCGCAGTGGGGCGTGCCCCGTGCGCACGTCTGCGTTGGCTCGGCGACGCGCCCGTCGCGGATCGGGAATCGAGGATCGACCTTCGCATCCGGGCGTCGCCAACATGTCTGGACGGACACCTTGTGAAGCGTTTTCGGTCCTGGAGGCTGTCTCCCAGCCCATGAACCGTCCGAAAACGACTCTGGACGAAAAGCCAGCACCGGGAAGGACTCGAGATCCCCAAGGGCCCGCGTCTCTTGGAGTTCTGGATGCGTCTGCCTTTGCTTGGCGATGCGTCCATGGTTTTTCCCGCTGCGATTCGAGTCAGAAAACTCGGCATGAGCAGTAAGCGTCCTCGCGGATTTCTTGGGTCGGCGTTGGGCTTCAACGGCAAGCTCCGCGCGCCAGGGGAGGGGGGGTCCAGCGCTGACCCAAGAAGCCCGCGCGGACCTTCGAAAGCTAATGCTTACAGTGCGACAGGATCATCCGTGTGCGCGATAAGGACGCAAGGACCTTGGACGCTCATCGTCGGTTGTTCCTCCAGCGTTGGCTTGTCTGCGTTTTGGCTGCGCTGTTTCCCGTCGTGCGGCCTCCCTTCTCCGCACCTCGGCCCCGCCCAGCCCCGCCCGCGTGCCGCCGGGGGGGAGGCTGTCGTTCAGTTGGCGGCTGCGCGATGGGCGTGCCCACCGACGCAGCAGGACGAGAATCGGGAGGGAAAGAGAAGCAGGGCAAGCAGAACAAACAGGAGGGGTGTAGAGGTAGGAGGCGGTGGAGGAGCAGGAGGAGGAGGAGGAGGAGGAGGAAGAGGAGGAGGAGGGGGGGGGAGAAGGAGCGAGATGATGAGAAGGAGGAGGAGGAGCAGACTGAGGAAGAGCAGCGGCGGCAGCAGCAGGATGCCGACGACGAGCGCAAGGACGACGACGAACAGCAGCAGCAGCAGCAGCAGCAGCAGCAGCAGCAGCAGCAGCAGCAGCAGTGGGAGGTCGCGCAAGACCCCGCAGGCGCGCGGAAGGCTCCGCGAGTTGCTGGCCCTGGAGAACAAGGCGTGCCTGCTGCTCGCACCGCCCCCCCTCTGCCCGGCCTCTCTAGGACCGAGGTTCAGGCTCCACGATCGAGGCTTCTGCACGCTCGTTGCTTCTCTTGGGCCTCGGGCGGCTCCTGGAGGCCTTTGGAGAGCTCCCTGGAGGCCTCCATTGGCCTCCAGGGACACTCCCGCACGCAGGTGTTTTCGCATCGCGGTGGGGAGGGGGGGGGACAGAACAGCTGCGGGATCTGTGTTCGCGATTTGGGTCTCCAGGGGCTGGTCTGCGGGCGGGCCATCAATAATCAAGAGAGAGAATTTCTCGCGGCAACAAGCAGGCCCTGCGCAACGGGTCGAAAGAGAGCGCTTGGGGCCCACGGCGCAAAGAAATGGCGGCGTCCGAGATGTGTGTGTGTGTGTTGTCATGTGTTGTGTTGTGCTGTGTTGTGTTGTGTTGTGGTGTGGTGTGGTGTGGTATGTGTGTGCGTGTGTCTGTGTGTGTGTGTGTGTGTCAGTGTGTGTGTGTGTGTTTGTGTGTGTATGTGTGTGTGTGGTGTGTGTGCGTGTGCGTGTGCGTGTGCGTGTGCGTGTGCGTGTGCGTGTGCGTGTGCGTGTGCGTGTGCGTGTGCGTGTGCGTGTGCGTGTGCGTGTGCGTGTGCGTGTGCGTGTGCGTGTGCGTGTGCGTGTGCGTGTGCGTGTGCGTGTGTGTGTGTGTGTGTGTGTGTGTGTGTGTGTCTGCGTGTGTCTGTGCCTGTGTCTGTGTCCGTGTCCGTGTCGGCGTCGGCGGCCGCGTCGGTATCTGTGTCTGTGTCTGCGTCCACGGGCTAAATTCCGGCCGACTTGGTGGGTGTCTGTGTGCTTGTGTGTCAGTCTGCTGGTGCGTCTGTGTGTCTGTGTCTCTGTGTCTCTTTGTCTCTATGTCTCTGTGTCTACGTGTTTGTGGGCGTGTCTGTGTGTGTGTGTCTGTGTGCGTCCGTGTCTGTATCTGTGTGTCTGTGTGTGTGTGTCTGTTTGTCTGTGTGCCTGTGTGTATGCGTTTGCGTCTGTGTGTCTGTCTGTCTGTCTGTCTCCCTGTCTGCCTGCCTGCCTGCCTGCCTGCTGGCCTGTCTGCATGCGCAGTTGTGTTTATGTGCCTGTGTCTGTGTCTGTGTCTGCTTGAACGGGACAAGTTCTGGCCGAGGACTTGGTGGATGTCGATGCCTGGCACAGGTGGGTGGCTCGAGCTGCGCCAATCATCAAGAAGCCTCCTGTGGGCTGCACGTAAGCTCTTGTAAAGTGTCCCGTCAGAGGAGTTTGGCCTGGAGGTTTTCTCCGAAGGGCTAAGGCGACCCGTCCTCCTCCTCCTCCTCCTCCTCCTCCTCCTCCTCCTCCTCCTCCTCCTCCTCCTCCTCCTCCTCCTCCTCCTCCTCCTCCCCCTCCTCGGGTCGCCCACGGCCCCGGGGGAAACCGTGCACCAGAGGTCTCTCTTGCCCACTGATCGTCCGATCGAAAACCATGTCGCATAACACATCGGCTCAGCATGGGAACAAACCTAGCCGCGCAGGAAGCGGCACTCTGAGGTCGAGGAGGCTGCACCAGAAACATCTATGAGACCAATGGGAAAAAACATGTCGTTGAGTAATGGCTGACCGGATGTGCTGTCAATGCGCCGCAGAACGCAGGTGCCCAGATGATGCACGCTTTATTGCCCCGGGGGGGGGGGGGGGAAGGGAGGGCGGCGGGGGGCGAGGAGGCGGGAGGGGCGGGAGGGGGCGAGGGCACGGGGGACATCGCAGGCTTCGCCTGCGTTCGGGCGGCTGCGGCCCCACTCGGGCGGGGCCGTTCTCGCACGCTGACGCCAGGGCACCGAATCGCCGAACGATCGGTGCATTACGCCCAAGACGACATGAAGACGACTGAAGAGGCGCCCAAGATGCCCCAAGAAAGGCCAAAGAGGCCTCCCGAGGGGCAGACATCGTTCAGTTCCCGTTGGACAGCGCGCACGGTTAGCATCTACGGCTTTTCGGTCTCACCGCGTTCAAGACGGCTCAAATCGCCCCCAGACGGCCCAACAAGCCCCAAAGAGAGCCCCAAACCGGCCCACGATTGATTTGGTTGGGAAGCAATCCGTCCACAAACCACCAATTGCCGCATCAGCACTGCGCTGCTCTGTCGGTGCTGGCGGGCTTGCCGCCTGACTTCATATTCGGGTACGTGCGATATCGTTGAATGTAGCACATCGTGACATTGTGATCCTTTGTAGACAGCGATCTTGGAAAGCGTCGGTAGTGTGCTTGTCAGTCTGGAGCAGGCAGAGTGCCTCCAGGCTATACACCAGCTTCGACATCACGCACGCACCGAAAATCTGCGTCTCCCTGGCACGCGTGATGTTCGCGTGCTTCCAAGCACTCTGGAAGGTCTTATACGCAGCCGCGGCTTCGCCAAGCTTGCGCGATGGACGCCGCTGTGCATCCATCCGTGTTCAGAACAGTGTCAAAATCGATAGCGCTATTCACCTTTTTGGATCCCCTTGCTGCGTGATAACATTCAAATTGAGGCGGATCTGTAAGTGGACCAGTTTGGACCATCTCGGCGCCAGGCCATACACGCCAGCTCGGTACCGTAACTGTTCCAAGACGTATTGCAAGCGCGGGATCTTATCTTATACCAGGGCGGCGGCGTCGGTAAGTGATAACGATGATGAACACTTAATTATGGGCTCAGCGGGCACCTTTTCGCAGGCCCGTGCCTTGCGAATAAACTGCGGAAGAGCCTTGTTGGTCCCGCATCTCGATCGGCCGACTGTCGTTGATAGCAGAGATCAGATCATTGCCAGGTAGTGGTCAGGCAACCCAGAGCACGCAAGAGTAACGTGCATCGCCGCAGGATCGACTCACTCAAATGCCGCTGGCTGACCCGCCCAAGAGGTCGATTCCGTCCATATGCCTTTGACAGGGTCACATAGGGTCACTCTTGCGTGTACGTGCTTCGCCGATTGTCGTCGCTTGTTTCCAGTAATTTAGCGTGCCTGGCTCTTCTGCCCCCTGTGGATGCGTGAAGGTGGCCCGGCGATTCCGCAGGGTTTGGCCGAAGAGTTGGTTGAGACTCGTCGGCCAGCCATTTATTAAACATCGTTCGGGCACAATGGCTACCAAACGTCAGGCCCAAGAGTGTGCTTGCGGAAGCTTGGTTGCCCCCCCCTCCACCCCCACCCCTGGGCGCACTAATTAGCTCGTGCCCCCTCGTGCCGTTTCAGATTGGAGTGGCCATTTCCTACCGCCCTTACTGCGTGCCTCCCTCCCTGGTTCCCCTGCTCCCCGACAGGTTTCCCGATCCCCCAACTCTCCTGATCGTCGATCGGGTGTGTATCTCGGCTCTGCGAGCGATTCGCGAGATCCCGATCTCACCTTGTTTTTCGCGTGATTCGTTCAGATCGTCATATCTGAACTAGCTCAGCCTCTAGGCTTTGAGGCCAGGCCGGCCGCGGTCGGCTAGCAATCAAACCAGCTCCGAACCCAGTGCCATCACCATCATCATGCCAGCTCTCCTGCTTGCTCGCGCACTTCTCCACGTATATGAGTATATGAGGCATAAATGGTGCAGTCGCCCGCGCCTGTTCCAACAACAAAACAAACGCCCCTGCCATTCCCTCCTCGTCGTCGAGTCGTCGAGTCGTCACCTCCTCCTCACCTCCTCCTCCTCCTCCTCCTCCTCCTCCTCCTCCTCCATCCAAGTCCACCGCCCGTGCAGCCCCCCACTCGCCTGCATCTCAGAGCGTGAGGACAGCATGGCTGGCAGACTACCTTCAAGCCCGCACCACGCGTTGCTTTCGATGGCGCGCCTGCACTTTCCGAGGTGAGGGCTCGTCTGGCCAAAAGGATGCAGCTTCCCATTCCCTATGGCAGCAGCCACAGAGGGTTGGTGCGAGTGTGCTGGCCTTCTCAGCAGACAGGAGGGGCGTCTGAGAAGTGCCCCGAGGCTTCAAAGAAGGCTCTCTTAGAACCCGGACGCGCTGACGAGAAGCCCTCCGCACCCCACTGTCAGAGCGCAGGGCCTCCAGGCAGCGCCGGAGGGCCCAGGTCCCCGCCGCGCTTCGGGGGCACGGAGCTTGCGGGCGCTCGCGCCTCCCGCCTCTCCTCACAGCCGGCCGGCGCCGTCGTGCGCGTCACACCCTGCGGTGACGCACGGCGCCTGCAGAGAACACCGCGTGCACGTTGCCGAGTGCGTTTCGCATTGTGTCCAGCTGCCAGAAGCAAGTCCCTCCGCCGCGCCCGTCCAGCACTTTGGGTGGCGACTGTTCGAGTTGTTCTGAGCCGCGTCATCGGCCGCGCATTCGGAGCGCCGTCGTGCCTCTTCTCGTGCGGGGTGGCCGCGCGGCGCCCAGCGCGGCCTGCCAGTCTCGCGTTGCCCCGCGCGGGTGCTGCGTCGGTGGAACGCGCTGCTCTGGGGATGCGGATGCGTCGCGCCCGGCGGAGGCGAGGAAGAAACAGCCTGGCGAAGGACCCAACCATATACAGCTGTTGGCTTGCTGGCTCAGTGCGGATGAGGGCCACGGAACGTCTGAACAGTGTGGCGAAATTTGTGCAGTGCCACGATGCGAGCCCTTCACATGGGGCCGTCGGTGGTTGTCCCTGTGGGGCCACGAGACTTACGAGGTTGCCGAAGTGGGCGGAACGGCGGCGTGCGAACCCTGCCGACGGGGGTCTCGGTGGAGATCCATATGGGGCCGCGAAACGTATGAGGGGTGTGCCGAAACGGGCAGGGAGGCGGCATGCGAACCCCGTCACTGGGGCCTTCGGTGGAGCTCCCTACATGGCCACGAAGCATGCGAGGGGCGTGCCGACATGGGCGGGGCGGCGGCTTGCGAACCTTGCAGTTGGGGCCTTTCTTGCACCTCCCTCCAGGGCCACGGAAAGTGTGAGGGGTGTGCCACGAGGCGGCGGCATACCAATCCTGCCACTGGGGCCTTCGGTGGAGCTCCCTACAGGGCCACGACACGTGTGAGGGGTGTGCCGAAGCGGGCGAGGCGGCGGCATGCGAGCCTTGCCGTTGAAGCTCCCGGTGAAGCTCACCCGCCCCATAGGCGCCACGAAACGTGTGAGGGGTGTGCCGAAATGGGCGGGGCCGTGGCATGCGAACCTTGCCACTGGGGCATTCGGTGCAGCTCCCGTCGGGCCACGAAGCACGTGAGGGGCGTGCCAAAATGGGCGGGCCGGCGGCATGCGAACCCTGCCGTTTGGCCCTTCGGTGTGGTTTCTTATCGGACCACGAAGCGTGCGAGGGGTCTGCCGACATGGGCACGCGGAGAGCAAAGGCAGGAGGGATGGGAAGGGAACTGAGGCGAGGACACGGGGCGCTGCGGATTCCAAACGAGGACCCAACACCACGGGATGGTTGCGAAGTGCATAGCTCGTAGGCACGTCTGGGACCGAGAGATGGGAGGGAGGGAGGGGAAGCCGGGGAGGGGCCGGGCAGCCAGGGGCGGGGCAGCGGATGGGAAAGAGGCCGGGCGACAAGCGGGGAGGGTTGGGGATGTCGGGCATGAGAGCGGCCGTGCCGCCCGGGAGAGGCGATGATGTGTATCCATTAATTATGCTGGCACGACGAGAGACTCTTGAGGTGCACGGGTGGCACCTTGGGGGTCAAGGGAGAAGAGAGGGGAGAGCGGAGGGGGAGCAGGGATGGAGGAGTGAGAGGAGAAGCGGCAGGTGCAGCGGGAGCGGCAGCAGAAGAGGGGGGGGGGGGCGCGGAGGCGGAACGCCCGCGCGGCTGGGACGCCGCCGCCAGCCCACAGGACTTCGTTCACGGCCTGGACGACGGCCGCCCCCCTCCTGGGGGGGAAGGGGAGGGAGGGGGGGGATCGATTTCTTCCCAGCCGCCTTCCCTGCACTGCCTCCTTGTTGACGTTCGGCAGACTTGCATCGACTGGGATCGTACCACCAGGGTGACAACAAGAAACGGCACGGTGCGATTTAACCTTGGGCACAGTGGCCGCACATCAAGCAGCAAGCACCTGCGGTGAGCAGAGGGGCAACAAAGAATTGGTTCAGCGAGGGAGCGAGAATGATGAGGAGGAGGAGGAGGAGCGAGGAGGAGGAGGAGGAGGGGGAGGGGGGGCGGGGAGGAGGAGCGAGGGGAACCGCGGGGAGGAGGAGGAGGAGGAGGAGAGGAGGAGGAGGGGGAGGGGAGGAGGAGGGGGAGGAGGAGGAGACGAGGACGAGGACGAGGACGAGGAGGAGGAGGAGGAGGAGGAGGAGGAGGATAATCAGGAAGAGGAGCAGCAGCAGCAGCAGCAGGAGGAGAAGGAGCCTCCTCCCTGCTGCCGCCGCCCCCCCCATTCACGGGAGGGCGAAGGGGGGGCTCCTTCCTGCCCACGGGGGGTGGGAGGCCCAGAACCCGTCTCGTCTTCTCGGAGGCATTGCGACCGACAAGTCACAAGTTGTTCTGCATCTCGGGGCCCTTACAGTGGGGTGCCCTCTTGTGATCGTTGTTTCATTCCTTGTTTTGCCGATTGGCTCGGGCCCTCGACCCCCCCCCCCTCCGCCCCCTTCCCTGGAGTAGATCTTGACTGTTTTGGGCCCCTGCTTCGAGCAGGCGGAGTCTCCCCCCAACAGGACGCACAGTTGCAAACAGTCGCACTAGGCAGGGGTCTGGAGCCAGACCCACCCCCCCCCTCCCTCCCTCCGCCCAATGTCGAAACGCCGAATAAGAAAACGCTCCCCTTGCATTTGGAGAGGTCACGCAAAGTCTGCTGTGTTCCTTCAGGGCGGGTCGCCTGGCATGCCAAGAAACACCCTGCTTGCCTCCAGGGTGCCCTTGGTTCCTTGGGTTTCGATGGTTTTGCGATGGAAAGCGTGACGCTCCCACACCAAAAATCAGTGGACTTCCTGGGGTCTCAGGGTTGGGTTTCTTGTGGAAGGTTTCTTTTGGACTGGCCTCTACTGTACTGGGCCCCGATCTGCAAAACAAGTATGCGGGATTCGAGCACGACGTCGGAGGTCTGGGGGAGAAGGGGGGAGATCCACTGTGAGCGGATCGAGGAGTGGTTGTCGCAGGTCTGCCATGACGCTGGATACGTGTGGAGGCCAGCCCGGGCGGGATGTCTTTCCAGCGCGCTGCCCCCAGGCGTGGTTCCTTCAGCCAGACCCCGTATGTGTGTTCTTCAACTGGCCTCCGGGTAGAAGGTCTTTGCGGGGGTCCCAGGTTGTCCACATCTTCCTCCAGGGTCCATTTCGATTTGGTCGGCCCGATGTCGATTCTGGACCGACCCGATTCGATTTCGTTCCAAGTACCCATGTAGCCCGATCCGACGCATACTCCGACTCGATAAGTCTTCCCGATTCGATGTTAGGTTCCAGGTGGCCCGCATCTTCCTCATCATCCTCATCGTTCTCATCATTCCTGCTTCTACTCAGAGCGGATGATAGCCTTCGATGCGGTCGCCCTGTCCTCAAGTCTACGTGTCACGACAACGTTGCTGTCAAGCACCCCTGCTTTCGGTCACCACGTCGGTCCACCGTCCACCCATTCACCGAACACTACAAGTTGGTTGGTGAAGGGGACCACCGGCGAACTGATCATGCAGCCGCGGCGGTCCCCCTAAAACCCTCCACGTCTGGCGCGTTGCCTCCTGGTTCTCCTGCTCCTCCTCCTCCTCCTCCTCCTCCTCCTCCTCCTCCTCCTCCTCCTCCTCCTCCTCTTGGCATCGCTCGGACGTGTGCATTTTTCCCTGCGAGGGCCATCGAGGAGCCATTTGGGCCACCCTGCGAAAAAAAATACACGCACAAAAGCCGAAACGTGCAGTGGGGACGGGCATCCGAGCGATGGCAGGTCCTGCTCGCTCTTGTCGCACAGGGTGGCCAGGCAAGAACCTGGGACTCTTTTGAGGACGACCTGCCTCTCCTGCGCCCTCCTTCTCCTGCTCACTCTTGTCGCGCGGGGTGGCCAGGCAAGAATATGGGACTCTTGTGAGGACGATCTGCCTCTCCTGCTCCCTCCTCCTCCTGCTCCCGCGCCTCCTCCCCCACCGGAGAAGCTCAAGTCGAGCGAGTCTTGCCGACCCCCCTTTGCGCGCCGCCCCCCACCCCCCACCCACCCCCAGCTCCTCCTTCTTCTCCGTCTCCCTCCTCCTCCTCCCTCCTCCTCTTCCGTGCCTTCCTCCTCCTCCTCCTCCTCTTCCTCCTCCTCCTCCCTCCGCAATGTTCAGTGGCGCGCGTTTCGCGGTCTTCAGACGCCAGCGAACCAGAGACGTCAAGGCATCCACCTTGAAATCTGGGGTTCTGGGGGCGCCGACACTGGGGGGCATGCACCCGCCCTCCTCATCCGCTTCTTCCTCCTCCTCCTCCAGGCTGATAGACAGGGCGTTCCCTCGTTTATCATCTCATGTGTGCAGGCTACGAATTGTGGCCCTCCACAGGAGATGGAATTCCCCCCATAGACAACTCCTCCAAGCCCGCAGGACTCTCTCGTGGTGACGTTCCCGTCCGTATACCTGAGTGCTTGGTCAGTGCTTCTCCTCCTCCTTCTTCTCCTCCGCCTCCTCGGCCTCATTATCGGCCGTATCCTCCTTCCCCCTTCTTAGGCCCTTCTTCGCCGCTTCCTCCTGCTCCCCCCGCAATGTCGCCCTCGCTCTCCCGCTCTCCCTCCGCCTTCCCCACGGGGGCTGCCGCGGACACGGAGCTACCCCAGAGTCACAGCGTGCTCCGGGCTTGCCTCAAGCCTGCATCGGAGCGTCCTCCGTAGCCATTTTTGCTCATGTACAGTTTTTCGACACTGGCCTTAGTGGCCAGCAGTGGCCAGCCACCGTTCGAGGTGGAGGATGCAGACGACGCAGCCTCCGACGGCGCAGCTTCGGACTCGAGCTCCAGCGGCAGCTGCCGCAAGCGGCCCAGACTGGCGAGGCCTTTCTCGACCGACGACACCCTGCTTCTTGTGGATTGGGACGACACTCTCCTGCCCCTGCATTGGATCCAGCAGGAGGGCCTGCAGCTGGCGCGATGCAGCACGATATCCGAGAGACAGCTCCTAGAGCTTGCCGGCATTGCAGCGAGTGCGGCGCTCATGCTCCAGGCGGCCAAACGGCTCGGGCACGTTGTCATCGTCACGAACGCGGAGCGGGGGTGGGTCGAGCTGAGCTGCGCCAGGTTCCTGCCCTCACTCTTCCCCGTGCTGGAAGGCACGAAGGTGGTGTCGGCGCGGAGCTCGTTTGAACGGCGCGGGCCAAGCGGAGAGGGCTCGCCGACGGAGTGGAAGCAGGCCGCGTTCGAGCTGGAGATGCGGCGTTGCCGCGGCTCGGAGTGCGGGCGGTGGATCAACGTTCTCTCGCTTGGAGACTCGAACCACGAGCGCGAGGCCCTCCTGAGCGCCACAGCGGGCGCGCCCGACTGCTGCGCGAAGAGCGTGAAGCTCCTCCAGGCGCCTTCGCCATGGCTACTGCGGGGCGAGCACGACCTGGTCAGGAGGCGCCTGCGCGAGATCGTGGAGTCGTTCGGCGACCTCGACCTGCACGTTCGGGAGGTCGGCGAGTGATGCGGAGTCCTCGGCTCCGTGGGCACCTCCGCCTTCCTCGGCGGCTCGGGGATCCGTCCTCCTTCGCACCTCTCCTCCTCTTCTCGACTCCCTCGCGTCGCGCCTTCTGCGCATGCCGTGTCTGCGCACGTTTCTTTCACAGTGTACAGAGCCAGCCAGGACGCGCGCGAGCAGAAGCCGCGGCACCTCAGCTAGAGTCGAATAATCACAATAAACAAAGTGCATCATCGTAAATTTTCGGAGCTCCGCGCGGATTTCTTGGATTGGCGCTGGGCCCCCTGGCGGCGGACAGTCCGCGCGCGGAGTAAGGTTTCAATTGGTCGAGGTGGATGTGATCCACGGACAGCTCTCGCGCACCCTCGCAGGTCCCATGGACCGGCCAGCTTCTCGGCGGGCACTCGACGGTGAAGCAGCAGGTTTGCGTTGCATCGACTCGGCGGCGAGCCCAGCGCAGGCCTTTCAAGCTTGAACGCTGCAAGTGGCCTGGAGTCGGCCAGTATCGAAGGATCCTCGCTATCTGGAAGTCGCCGTTATTCTCCGATCAGTGCTTGCTCTGAAGGGGTCCTAGCAGAAGTTGAAAGATTCGGCGAAAGATCCCCGCCGATTTTTTGGTGGCCCGCTGAGTTCCTGGGTTCCCGGTTCCGGGTTCCCGGCTCTGGCCAAGACAAGACGTCGTAACCAAATCAAGCGCCCAAAGTATTGTAAATTACAATGGTTTGTTGCGTGCACGTGCGTAACCAAATCGTCCTCGAGTTGGACCAATTTTGTATGAGAGGGGTGCACTGCTTTGATTTGGTTGCGCGAAAATTGATTACGAAGTGTGATTTGGGTATGACTTGGTTATGAACAGTTCAAAATTGGCTACGATTTGGCTACGCTATCAAATTTGGCTACGATTTGGTTACGTTCCAAGATGGCTACGATTTGGTTACGATTTGGCTAAATCGGGTCCGTCGTGGAAACGGATGATGTGCCCAAGTGCTGTCGGGCAGGGCTTCTGTAGTCTGTAGTATTCTAAAGGGCCCCCCTCCGCGGGACGCGTACCGGCGACTGCACCGCCCCCCCTGCAAAGACCTTGCAAAGACCACCATGCAAAGACCGTGCAAAGGTTATACCCTGCAAAGCCCCTGCAATACCCCAGGAGGCCCAAAGAGGCCTCCAGGAAGCCCCAAGAGACCCCAAGGGACCCCCCCAAGAGGCCAAAATGCCCTGAAGAGGCCCCCAGACGGCTCCCAAGAGGCCTGCAAATTGCATCCAACAGGCCCCCGAGAGGCCTCCCACGATATCCTAGCGAACATCCACGAGGCCTATAACCCACAACCTAGGTGCGGTGACGGGACTTGCCGTAGGCAGCTGAATAGTTAGTGTTGCGAAGAGCCAGGCCTGATGCAGCTGCATGTGGCGTGGAGCATGGCATGTTCTTTTTACGATGCGCGCCGCAGGGCAGTCAGGATCGGGAGCTGCCGAAGAGGTGGGCAGGAGGGCGCCGAACTTTTTGTGGGGCATAATACTTGCGAGGAGAGTGCTGAAATCGACGGGGAGCTCATGTGGTCACGCCCAACAGGACAAAAAGTGGAGGTCCCAGAGGAGAAAATCCACGCAAGGGGTGTGCCGAAATGGGGCGGCAGCGCCGTGCGAGCACCTCCATTCAGCCCATTGATGGAATTCCCTGAGGGGCACGCTCCGCGTGAGGGGTGTGCCGAAATGGGCAGGGACGCCATGCCAGCACAACCAGTGGGCCAGGTGCACGCCTCGCGTGAGGGTTGAGCCGCAATTGGCGGGGAAAGCGTAGACGCGGAATAATTCCCAGTGGAACCCTTTACAGGGCAGATTTGGTAGCGGCGGCGCCATGCGGACGGATTGGTTAGGGCCATAGGTGGAGATCCATGAGGGGCGCGAGCCTCATGAAAAATGTGCCGACACAGGGGATGGCGGCGCCATCCGGACACACCCGCTGGGGCCATAGTTGGAGTTCCCTATCAGGCACGATCCTGTGAGGAGTATGCCGAAATGAGGACTGCGGCACCATGCGGACGCACCTGTTGGTGCCATAGGTAGAGCTCCCTATGAGGCACGATCCTCGAGAGGAGAATGCCGACACGGGGACGGCTCCATGCGGACGCACCCGCTGGGGACAGGTCGACCTCCGAACGGGGCGTGATCACTGTGAGGTGTATGTTGAAATGGGGATGACGGCGCCATGCGGAAGCACCCAGTGGGGCCATAGGTGGAGCTCCTTATGGGGCACGGAGCACGCTAAGCCAACACTTGGGGCTGTTCTTGAGGCCTTTAGCCAGCATTATGGAAACCACAGTGTACCAGCTTGGGCAGACTCCCTCCTGCTTCGCCCGCCCCCTTCTTCAGTCCCATCGGCAATGTCGAACATGGTCGCTTCGATATGCTTACGGCTTGGTGTTGTTACGATTTGGTTATTATTTGGATACGATTGACGCAGTATAAGTTATGATTTGGTTACGAAGATTGAAATATGGTTACGATTTGGTTATGCGAGCAGCGTTCCGGAACGATTTTGGGTACGGGAGTGTTCAATGCATTTTGATAGCTCAAGTGTGTGAGGGGTCGCTCGTAACCGTATTCTTCGCGTCTTGGCTACGCGCAACCCTTTTGAGCGTAACCAAATGATTTGGTTATGTACACTAGGGCGGGTTCCCGGGTTCCCGGTTATTGGTTCCAGGCCGATTTCGGTGTGTTGTGGGTTCCCGGGCTCACGGGTTCCTTGTCGATCTCCTCAGCGAAAACCATCCATTGATTGGGTTTTCTATGGTGTAAGTGAAAGATTAGGCGAAATTTTTCCCTGGGTGCCCCCCAGCGAATCACATCCGTTGCAAGCCACACTCCTCGGAGTCGCCGACCGGGATCTGACCTCTGGGGCCATTTCTGAGCTTCCTCTGCGCGCGGGGCAGGCACCCTCCGGCGCTTCCTCTGCGCGCGGGCCTGCGACGTGGAGAAGGCCCTGGGGCCGCCTGCGGGCGGGGACGGCTCCTTCAGCTCCGCGTAGCGCAGCACACATCGTGCCGGCCGGCTGCGGGAAGGCATCGGCCTCGGGACGCCGTTCTCTGGCCCCGTGGCGGTCACAAAACGATTCAGGATGGAGAGTCGGCCTTGGGAAGGGGGGCCGAGAGGTCGAGATCTCCGGGGACCCCGTGACACAATAGGAGTGCGACGGCGGACGAGCCCTTGGCGGAGCGGGCCCCAGGATCTGGGCGTCGCAGTCTTGTTCGCTCTGGGCGTCTTCCCCGATTGCGGGCCCGAGGGCCCTCGCAGATCGATCCGGCTCGAGAGATCTCGCAGAAAAGTTGGAAGCGACAAGCCTCCGCGAAATGTAGAGCAAGTGTTTCCGGAACCCCCATGGCCCATGCCCGAGGGCAAATTTTAAAACAGTGAATTTCGACAACGACATTGACAGTGAGGGCCAATGGGCGCCGGCGGGTCCCAGGAACAACTTGCTTGTATGGATGTGAAACTACCGTTCGGGATATCTGGCGATGCCGATGTGTTTTGCGACGTCGGCATTCTCTTCAGATCCGACGGCGCGAGCAAAAACAGCATCGTTAGAAATCACGACCGGAACCCCAGACCCCATCATTCTGCGGCACTGCTGAATCGACTGGACGCAAGAGTGACCCTTCGCTGGAGTGACCTTTGGTGCGGGCCCATTCAATGGGGCCCCCCGATCGCTGACCGCGAAGCGGTAGCAGCGGCTTGAGCGCCCAGGTTTGGCCCCCCCCCCGCGTCCCCCGTGGAGTCGCGCACCAAAGGGGTCATTCAAGCCGGCTCGGCCTCCACGAGCCCAGGGGCCCGCAGCGGGGCGACAGCGCCTCGCATGCGAGAGAAGAAAGCGGCCCGAGGATCTCGTGGGGCACCCTCCGCGCGGCAGGTGCCGCCGCGGCGCGGCCCGCCACCTGTCGCGCCACGCGGAGGGTGCTGAAAGGTGGATCAGTTTCACCATGCGTCGCGAAATTGGCGTCACGAAGTCTTGCGATTCGCATCTTGGCGAAATCACGTGTCGCGAGATTGGCGTCCTGAGATCTTGCACCTTGCGCCGCGACAGTGGGCCTGAGGCAGAGGCATGGGCTCGCCAGGTTGCAGGTCGGCTGGCCCATGTTTTGCTGAGGCACTCCTCGAGCCAGACGGAGGCCCGCGAGGGCCCCAGGCCCCCAAAATAGCAGGCGAACGCGCCCGATATGCGAACAGAAATCGCGACGCCCAGGATCTTCGAGGGAGGGTCGAGGGGTCCTCGGGCCCAGGCTGAAGTCGGGCCCGTCCCTCTACAGGAGGGGAATTCAGAAGTATTCCCCAAACAAATTATCTGGGGACGTCATTCTTAAATGTTTTAGAGCTATGTTTGAGTATGTTTCGTGTTTTTTGTTTTTCGTCCAAAATCCGCCTGTAGGAGGACGTGCCCGACCTAAGCCCCGACCCCAGGCCTCCGGCGTCGCAATGCGATCGTCTCGATGGTGGCTGGCGTTCTCCATCCCGGTCTCGGCCTCGGTCTCGGTCCTTGGGGGTCGCCCTTTCTTGGGGCCCTGGTGGCAACGGAAGGTGCGAAAGGTGTAGGTCGAGAGCCCTCGGGATCTGGACCCCAGGCCTCCCCATGACTCGGCCACGCGCAGAGCGGTGTGGTGGGAGGGGGGAGGGCTTCTTAGAGGCACCCCTGCCTCCGAGAAGGCGCGGGCCCCATCCAGAAATATACAGATGTAGGGCCGGCGCCTGCTGAAAAGCAGCCTCCTTCCAAGAAGCCCTCCCCCCTTCCCTCCACCCCCTTGTGCGCGCCGCCTGATGACGCGTTGTTTGCGTGACGCCTCGGTCCCCTTCGGAGCCTGAGGCCGCCAGCACCGCGCGTGAAGTGCTGCATGCTCTGAGCGCGGACCGTTCCCGGGTCATCCTGCGCGGCCGCTCTCCCCTGGAGGCTTTCTCTGAAGGGCTTAGGCGACCCGTCCTCCTCCTCCTCCTCCTCCTCCTCCTCCTCCTCCTCCTCCTCCTCCTCCTCCTCCTCCTGCTCCCCCTCCTGCACAGGTGCACAAGTATAGCGCTGCCGCGCCCTGGCTGCTGCTGCTGCTCACATGTCCGCCTTCGTGCCTCCACGTCTCCTCTGACAACCGTGGCTCCTCGATCATTTTTCTTGCATGTCTGGCATGTTTGAGCATTTGTTTAGATATTGTTATTACTTTTTGGGCATTGTTGGCGCATGTTTGCTGCATTTTTATTTTTCGTCCAGAATCCCCCTGTCGGGGGACAGGCCCGACTTAACCCTAAATGCTGCTGGGATCGGGTGCCCACGTTGTGCACAGAATGCGCCGTCGGGTGCCTGGGGACGTCGCGATCGGTTCGGAAAGTTGTGGTGTCTGGGGACACGAACCGGGCCCTGGACAGTCAACGGAGTATTCCAGCGGTCCCCGGCTCCAGGGGCCACGCATAGAGGAGATAACGACTCCGGAGATCTAAAGTCCTTTCGAGCTTGGCTCAGGGATTTCAAACTGGCCTTAAGTCAAGATAACCAAGTCCAGGAAAGCCCGAGGCCAATCTTTTTACATACGCCAAGTTCAATGTTGCCAAAAACCTGAAGTTCGGAGAAAGTTTGGATCAAGTGTTGCGGCGAAGAAGTTCCGAATCTCCTGAGCGCGTGTGAAGTGTCCGTGAACTCCAGAATTGGTTTCGAATGTTTTCCAATGTTTGACCCAGTTGTCCGATTTTTGAAACTTAATGCGAATGGTTTTCCGACCTGATTTTCAAATTGTCCCCACACTGTGTTAAAACATTTGAATTATTTCGGAATCTCCCTGGATGTCTGAACTGTTGTTTGAACTCTTGCGTTACTTGGTTTCAGAACTCGCACTTCTAACCTTCCCTCCGCCCGAATCCAAGCCCAAACTTTATTTATTGTCCCCGGAAAGTCCATCTCTTCCCCTATCAGCCAATGACGAGTCTGGCCTGGGTTGGGTCCGCGCCGATGTTGGGCTTGTGCCGGGCTCGGAAGCCTCGCGCCTTCCGATGTGATGTTCAACATCCCGTGGGCTCTATGCACGACCTGTCAACCCCTCCCCCGGGGCTCACGATGCTGTCGGCTCCTCGTGTGGAGTTCACTGATGAGGATGTGCCTCCGAGAGCCCCGTGGGACCCCCCGTGGCCGCTGGGTGCCCCCTGGAGCCCCGAGCAGCAACAACCTGAACCTTTCAACTTGGCGTGGTCGAAAAAAATTAGCCTGGCGAAGGACCCAACCATACGCAGTTGTGAATACCGCAATTGTGAATACCATCTTCGCCCGCGCTCCCTATGTAGCCACGGCACCCCGCCGGGGCCCGACATGCTCAGGGACACGTTCGTGGCCGTCTTCGCGGGCGCCGACGACGACGAGGACGGCGTCCCCCTGACCGAGGAGCAGAAGCAGGAGAGGGTTCTGAGAGCCATGAAGGATGCTGCCACGGGCGACATCGGTGGGGCTCCCATGGGGCCACGATCCTCGTGAGGGGTGTGCCGAAATGGCCCAAGGCCGCCACGCGAACCCTGACACTCGGGCTTTCGGTGGAGCTCCCTATGGGGCCACGAAACGTGTGAGGGGTGTACAGACATGGGGCAACACCGACATGCCGAACCTGCCGCTGCGGCATTCGGTGGTGCCGCCTCAGACCACGAAACGTGCGAGGGGTGTGCCGACATGGAGGGTGGAACCGCATGCGAACGCAGCCACTGGGGCCTTCGGTGGAGTTCCCTGTGGGGCCACGAAACGTGTGAGGGGTGTGCCGACATGGGGGGTGGAACCGCATGCGAACGCAGCCACTGGGGCCTTCGGTGGAGCTCCCTATGGGGCCACGAAACATTTGAGGGGTGTGCCGACATGGGGGGTGGAACCGCACGCGAACGCAGCCACTGGGGCCTTCCGTGGAGCTCCCTAAGGGGCCACGAAACGCGTGAGGGGTGTGCCAAAATGGGGGGTGGAACCGCATGCGCCGCAAAAGCGAACGCAGCCACTGGGGCCGTCGGTGGAGCTCCCTATGGGGCCACGAAGCGTGTGAGGGGTGTGCCGAAATGAGGGGTGGAACCGCATGCGCCGCAAAAGCGAATGCAGCCACTGGGGCCGTCGGTGGAGCTCCGTACGGGGCCACGAAACGTGTGAGGGGTGTGCCGACATGGGGGGTGGAACTGCATGCGCCGCAAAAGCGAACGCAGCCACTGGGACCTTTGGTGGAGTTCCCTATGGGGCCACGAAGCCACGAAGCGTGTGAGGGGTGTGCCGACATGGGGGGTGGGACCGCATGCGCCGCAAAAGCGAACGCAGCCACTGGGGCCGTCGGTGGAGCTCCCTATAGGGCCACGAAACGGGTGAAGGGTGTGCCAAAATGGGGGGTGGAACTGCATGCGCCGCAAAAGCGAACGCAGCCACTGGGACCTTTGGTGGAGCTCCTTATGGGGCCACGAAGCGTGCGAGGGGTGTGCCGACATGGGGGGTGGAACCGCATGCGCCGCAAAAGCGAACGCAGCCACTGGGGCCTTCGGTGGAGCTCCCTATGGGGCCACGAAGCGTGTGAGGGTTGTGCCGAAATGGGGAGTGGAACCGCATGCGCCGCAAAAGCGAACGCAGCCACTGGGGCCTTCCGTGGAGCTCCCTAAGGGGCCACGAAACGTGTGAGGGGTGTGCCAAAATGAGGGGTGGAACCGCATGCGCCGCAAAAGCGAACGCAGCCACCGGGGCCTTCGGTGGAGCTCCCTACGGGGCCACGAAACGTGTGAGGGGCGTGCCGAAATGGGGAGTGGAACCGCATGCGCCGCAAAAGCGAACGCAGCCACTGGGGCCGTCGGTGGAGCTCCCAATGGGGCAACGAAACGTGTGAAGGGTGTACCGAAATGGGTGTGGGAGGGGGAGGAGGGGGGAGAGGGGGAGGGAGGAAGGAGGCCACGCAGGCCGCCACTGAGTCGCATCGCCTGCAGCGGTCGGCCCCGGCGCTCCCACGGCGCTGTGGTGCATCCAGGCGCGGCCGATCCGACGCGGCTGTTCGGAGGGGGAAAAAAGTACCCGTACCGCTACCATCCGCCCGTTTTCCCCTCGTTGGGCGTCCTGGGAGCGCACCCCGGGAGAGGCCCAGGGAGCAGCGGTACCAGTGCCTTTTGGTTTTCCCGGCTTCGGTTCCGTGCCAATGCAGCCCCCTGCGACGCCCCTTCCGCCCCGATCCGATCTTTCCCAGCTCGGTGCCGACAGATCCCGGGACTGGAGCGGGCGCAAGCCTGGCAGGGCGCTGGCGGGCGGCCTCGGAAAGGCAACGGGAGCAGAGGCGCAAGCGGCGGCGGCGGCGACGGCGACGAGGGCGACGACGGCGACAGCGACGACGGCGGCGAGGGCGGCGGCGACGACGACGACAGCCAGGAGGGCGAGGGCGAGGGCGGGGGTAGAGGGAGGGGGGCGGAGGCGGGGGTCTGGGTCAGTCTCGCGCGCCTCTCATTTGGGATGCCGGCTCCTGGTGTATGGGAGGAGGGCCTTTGGGTTCCGATGTTCTTCGCGGGGAGGCCCTAGGGTGGCTGGCAGTCGGCCCGCTCTGCAACGTGTCCTGGGCAGGGATGGCCACTCCGATCAGGTCGAAAGTGGCGTTTGCGTTCCCACCCTGCTGTGCACAGGCGGCGCTGGGATGGATTGCATGCAGGCCGCACGTAGCGTCATCCTCCTCCTCCTCCTCCTCCTCCTCCTCCGCCTCCTTCTCGTCCTCCTCCTCCTCCTCCTCCTTTTCCTCCTCCTCCTCCTCCTCCTCCTGCTCCTCCTCTCCTCCCCTCCTCCTCCTCCTCGTCCTCCTCCTCCTCCTCCTCCTCGTCCTCCTCCTCCTCCTCCTCCTCCACAGAACTGGCTGGCATCTTCCGAGCAGTGAGTTCCCCCTCCAGCTCAAGAGCAGGTTTGGCTCGAATCCTTGGCACAAGGGCCGAGGTGCGGTCTGGGGCCGAGGTGGCCCTCGGGGAGGCAGTTGAGCGCATATGCTCGACTGGTGCCTCTGGCGGGCGGCCCTGTGCGAGGACTGTGAAGAGGCCGAGGAGACGGAGAGCTCGGAGGATGCCGGGGCGCAGGCGTGGGGGTTGCAGCCAGGGCGCGAGTGGTTTGGTGTGCCCATTCAAAGGAGAGCGGGTTGAGGCAGCAGCAGCTGGCCTTCGGGGCGGTCCCTCGTCGCCATGGCTGGGCGCAGCTTGGGAAACTGATGCGTTTGGACCCGGGAGGGGGCCGGGCACCGACTCTGAGCTGCCGTTGTCCCAAGTCGCCCTGCTCCGATCAACGGGGCTGTGGGCGGGGTTTGCCAGCATGCGGAGATCCTGGGTGCACCCTGGGGCCAGGGGCACTTTTGGCAACGCCCGACCACGGGGCCCGGCAGCGACCGAGCGGACCACCCTCCTTGGGGCTCAAGGCGGCGGTCGCGGTCGCGGCCAGCTGCCTCTTGACACCACTTGACGTTGACCTGGCATGGGGAGGGTCCGCTCGGCTGCCCTTTGGGCCCCTGGCCTTCTGGGTGCCTAGTCCACGATCCAGACATGTGACATATTGATGAATTCAATCGGCAAATTATTATTTTTGCGGGGGAGGGGAATTCGGGGTTGTCAACACCCAGCGATATTCG